GTCTCCCTGGTTTTTGGGGTGGGATTTGGGGTCTCCCAAGATTTTGGGGTGGGATTTGGGGTCTCCCTGGTTTTTGGGGTGGGATTTGGGGTCCCCCCAGATTTTGGGGTGGGATTTTGTGTCTCCCTGGTTTTTGGGGCGGGATTTGGGGTCTCCCTGGTTTTTGGGGTGGGATTTGGGGTCCCCCCAGATTTTGGGGTGGGATTTTGTGTCCCCCCAGATTTTGGGGCGGGATTTGGGGTCTCCCTGGTTTTTGGGGTGGGATTTTGTGTCTCCCTGGTTTTTGGGGTGGGATTTGGGGGTCCCCCTGGTTTTTGGGGTGGGATTTTGTGTCTCCCTGGTTTTTGGGGCGGGATTTTGTGTCTCCCTGGTTTTTGGGGTGGGATTTGGGGTCTCCCTGGTTTTTGGGGTGGGATTTTGTGTCTCCCTGGTTTTTGGGGTGGGATTTTGGGTCTCCCTGGTTTTTGGGTGGGATTTGGGGTCTCCCTGGTTTTTGGGGCGAGATTTGGGGTCTCCCTGGTTTTTGGGGTGGGATTTTGGGGTCCCCCCAGATTTTGGGGTGGGGTTTTGTGTCTCCCTGTATTTTGGGGCGAGATTTGGGGTCTCCCTGGTTTTTGGGGCGGGATTTTGTGTCTCCCTGGTTTTTGGGGTGGGATTTGGGGTCTCCCTGGTTTTTGGGGCGGGATTTGGGGTCCCCCCGGATTTTGGGGCGGGATTTGGGGTCTCCCTGGTTTTTGGGGTGGGATTTTGTGTCTCCCTGGTTTTTGGGGCGGGATTTTGTGTCTCCCTGGTTTTTGGGGTGGGATTTTGTGTCTCCCTGGTTTTTGGGGTGGGATTTGGCATCTCCCTGGGTTTTGAGCTGGAATTTGGGAATCCCCTCGAGTTTTGGGGTGGGTTTTGGTCGCCCCGGGTTTCGGGGTGCGTTTCGGGTTCCTGCCGGGTTTCGGGGTGGGATTTGGGGTGCCCTGACCCCCGTGCCCCCCCCCAATTCCCAGATTACCACGGCGGCCGCTCCCGCAGGAAGAGCGTTCCCGGGGGGAAGCAGTTCAGCATCAACATGGACGCGCCGCCCGCGCCCCCCTTCCGGCCCTCGGTGAGCGCCCGGCGCCGCGGCGACCCCAGACCCCCGTCATCCGTCGCCATGGTTACTGTGATCCTCCCATTGTTGCCGTGGTCGCCGTTGTCACCCAACAGCCGTTGCCATGGTTACTGTGATCCTCCCATTGTTGCCGTGGTCGCCGTTGTCACCCAACAGCCGTTGCCATGGTTACTGTGAACCTCGCATCCTTGCCGTGTTCGCCGTTGTCACCCAACAGCCGTTGCCATGGTTACCGTTGTCACCCATCACCTGCTGCCATGGTTACAATGGTCCCAGCATGCCTGCTGCCGTGGTTACCGTTGTCACCCATCACCTGTTTCCATGGTTACCATTGTCCTCCATTTCCATGGTTACCGTGGTCCCCCATCACCTGTTGCCATGGTTACCATTGTCATCCATTTCCATGGTTACCGTTGTCACCCATCACCTGTTGCCATGGTTACCATTGTCCTCCATTTCCATGGTTACTGTGGTCCGTCATCGCCGGTTGCCATGGTTACCATTGTCATCCATTTCCATGGTTACCATTGTCACCCATCACCTGTTGCCATGGTTACCGTTGTCATCCATTTCCATGGTTACTGTGGTCC